CAAGTATGACCACTTCTACCCTACTGTATCTCCACTATTGCATCTGGAACACTCCCCATGTAGGACCAGTATACACCCACTGTCATCCCCGGGGCATTGGACGTGTTTCAAGTATGACCACTTCTACCCGACTGTATCTCCACTATTGCATCTGGAACACTCCCCCTGTAGGACCAGTATAAACCCACTATCATCCCAGGAACATTGGACGTGTTTCAAGTATGGCCACTTCTACCCGACTGTATCTCCACTATTGCATCTGGAACACTCCCACTGTAGGATCAGTATAGACCCACTATCATCCCAGGAACATTGGATGTGTTTCAAGTATGACCACTTCTACCCTCCTGTATCTCCACTATTGCATCTGGAACACTCCCCCTGTAGGATCAGTATAGACCCACTATCATCCCAGGAACATTGGATGTGTTTCAAGTATGACCACTTCTACCCTCCTGTATCTCCACTATTGCATCTGGAACACTCCCCCTGTAGGATCAGTATAGACCCACTATCATCCCAGGAACATTGGGCGCGTTTCAAGTATGACCACTTCTACCCTACTGTATCACTCCGTGCAGTACTTGAACTGTCTCACATAGGAAGACTTCCACCCAACTATTTGACCACTATCACTCCGTGTAGCACTTAACCTGTCTCACATAGGAAGACTTCTACCCACCTATGTGACCACTATCAGTCCGTGCAACACTTAAACTGTCTCAAGTACGAAGACTTCTACCTGGCTATATGACCACTGTCACCGCTATTCTACTCTTGCCCCACTAAATATTACACCAGGCCACAGTTGGCCTGCTGTTACTATTTTCCCCCTATTACACCAGGAACATCGGAACTGTCTCAAGTAGGACCACTTCTACTATCAACACTGGATCTCTCCCTACAGGATCAGTTCCAGGCCGCTGTATTACTGCTTGCTACCAACATACGACCTGTCTCATGTTGGCCTGCTTCTACTATCTTCTCACTATTACACGAGGAACATCGGAACTGTCTCAAGTAGGACCAGTTCAAGCTCACAATTACCCATGTCACCATATTGCCACCAACAACCGCCAGATAATTAACTACAGTTACCGTTACCAACAACACGTGGTAATTTTGGTATACCTTTTACGTTATTGTATCTTATCAAATTGACCTGTGAAGATCCGGGGTAGAATAGGTCTTCAGCAACCCATTCTTGTCATAAAAGGCTACTATGCTTGTCGTAAAAGGCGACTAACGGGATCGGGTGGTCAGGCTCACTGACTTGGTTGACACATGTCATCGGTTCCCAATCGCGCAAATCGATGCTCATGTTGTTGATCACTGGATTGTCTGGTCCAGACTCGATTATTTACAGACCGCCGCCATATAGCTGGAATATTGCTAAGTGCGGCGTAAAACTCAACTCACTCACTCACTCTTATCAAATTACTGGCCTTGCTTATTGACATATTTGCTGTATGGTCAGATATTCTGAAAATGTATATAAAATATATTTCTAATGAAAAAATATAACCAAAGGTCTATCTGTGAATAGGTGTTGTAACATTCAGGATTAGAAAATTCCCTTTTTGCTGTGATTTATGAGGTACAATATCAGAATGTTTGTCTGCTTTTCAGATATGCCCTGCGGTGATATAGATCAGGCGTATCTAGTCAGTGGTTGGTTGGTTGTTTAACGCCGCACTCAGCAACATTACAGCTATTATATAGCGGCGGGCTGTAAATAGTCAAGTCTGGACCAGACAATCCAGTGATCAACAACATGAGCATCGATCTACGCAATCGGAATACGATGGTGTGTATCAACCAAGTCAGCGAGCCTGACCACCCGATCCCGTTAGTCGCCTCTTCCGACAAGCACGGGTTGCTGAAGACCAATTCTAACCCGGATCTTCACGGTCACTTGGATGATGGTGTGTCTTTGTTCCCGGAAAACGTAGGATGCTACAGATATTGTCAAAATATGGTTGATCAAATTCAGTTATTTACAAGCCGATGTCATATAGTTGATAGAATGCTGTTTGTCTGTTGTTTAACGCCGCACTCGGCCATATTCGAGCTGTATGACGGCAACTGAAAATAATCGAGAATGGACCAGACAAACCTGTGATTGGCATCATCGACTGACAAGCATGGGTTGCCTAAAACCACTTTTTAACCCGAATCTTCTTTCGTTTGACCATTGAGTTTGACCATATCTTTGAGCATACCTTCATGGCGTGGATATAGCGCAATAAAAGTGCCATTATTATTATTATTATTATTATTAAATTCATTTGCATGTTATTACATCATACTAAAAATATTAAGCCATAACGTGTTGTGAGTAAGTGAGTTTACTAGCGTCAGTGGACCAAGAGACAGGAGCTCCCGTACTCTTAAAACTATGAAATGTGACCAATGACATGCGAGAATTCGCTTCGTCGTCATTTCAATGGACAAGGGGAGGCAACTCTAATTGGCATGACACTTTTCCATTTCTCTGTTTGTGCTGTGGTGTGGGCAACGATGGTTCGTACCTTAAGTCTAATAGTCTTTTGTTTAGGATAATTGTATCACGATTTCCTTTAGCCGATCCCTGCTTTGTTTAGGATAATTGTATCACGATTTCCTTTAGCCGATCCAAACCCACCATGTATAACACCCCAGTGTATACCAGTCTATACGACACAGAACCAATGCATTCTTAGTACATACATAAAAATAACAACAACAATGTTTTAACCATACAGAACTATTGATATATAAATTACCGGGCAAATGCATGTACATACTTGTATATACTTGAAAACTGGATGTGGTCCACACACTGTATACGTTACTTGGCTGAAAACAATCGGCTAAACAGCGCAAGTTTAAGTTCCAAAACAGCCATGGTTTTGTTGTCACTCGAATCTAAAAAAGATCATCGTTGGTGAGTTTCACTGCATTAGAGAATGGATCAGTGCAGATAAAAATCTTCAAAAACAAGAGTTTCGTAAAGATTCTACCCCCAACCCCCCACCCCTCCTAAATATTTGAAAATAAAATAAATAAGTATAACCAATGAAAAATGAAAATGAAAAAATAAAAAGGACAATTAAAGAATAGAAGAAAAAACAACATTATACATGCAATCTATGCATTTGTATATATACCTTTATATAAACTTCAGTCTGTTTCAAATATTTACTCAAGTTGGACTTCCTAGGTTAATAAATATTTATGCACCTCCGACTCAACAATGTCGTCACACATGTCACTCTCAACAAAATGATCACCTGTTGTTGGATAGAACGTCTTCCAAGAGGGTAGTAGGTAGGTAGTTCGACCCATTTTACCCAACCTCACATTAAAGTGGAATGATTTCCTGATAAACATAAATGGTGCTCTGAGAACACCTCACTAAAGATTTAAAAATTATCAGAAATGACTGGTGCGTTGATAAAGTGTGCATGCGTGTTTTCTGTGCAATAATCTTCTCACTTCATCAGACCGCTGGGTAGTATAGCGCCAGTCAAGCGCTCAAAGTGCATCGCATTTGTGTCCGACTCTCAAGAAAACGGGGGAGGTAGGGTAGCCTTGTGGTTCAAGCGTTCGCTCGTCACGCCAAAGACATGGGTTTGATTACTCACATGGGTACAATGTGAAGTCCATTTCTGGTGTCCCCCTCCGTGATATTGCTGCAATTTTTCTAAAAGCTACGTAAAACTCACTCACCCAAGAAACATGGGATTCAGGGTTGATCCCAAGTCTCCTGCGTCTTCCGATGGATGCGACCAAATGGATCGTGTTGTGAGAATATTGGACTGGTTATCGTCGTCGTTTTGTCATACCCTGTGCGTGCGTGCTTATTTCCTACCCTAGTGACCATCACATTTTCTGGTGACCATCCCTTGACTTCCTTTGTGCCGGGTCGGTGGGGTAGCCTAGTGGCCAAAGCATTCGCTCGTCACGCGGAAGACCCGGGTTCGATTCCCCAAATGGGTAAAATGTGTGAAGCCCATTTCTGGTGTCCCCTGCCGTGATATTGCTGGAATATTGCTAAATGCGGCGTAAAACTAAACTCACTCACTCCTTTGTGCCCCTACTCCATAAGGGACCAGTCGCTAAGCTTCTTGTTTGTCTGGCCCAGACCCATCATGTACAGGATGGTGTCCCATAGCTGGGGGTGTTGCCGAGTGATATGCAGTAATCAATAGGGCGTAAAGGTATTGATGTGGTCCAGCATTAAAGCAAGATTGACTGATTTATTTAGCACCCCATTCCACGAGTTGTCAAAGTCCAAGACGCAGATTATATGTTTAGGACGCTTCAATGTTGTTGTTAAGCTGGACGGATTTGTCTCCCTTAGATCAGGTTTCAAAGCACCAGAAAATGTTCGGGGTTCCGATATTTTAATCAGAGGTACAGAGAATGTAGAATGTCTTTTGTTTAATTAAAACAAAATTTGTTGAAATCATTTGACATTGATACATGTTATTAAAAACTGACTGAGGTGAAGACATCTTGGAAACGTCCCCTGTGCTCTAATTAGACATTGGTTCCTAAGGACACTTTCTCCTGAACTTCCACCTCCATCACCTGATCTGGATGCCCCAATCTCCATTATCTAGATACCCCCACCTATCACCTCATGTGGATACCCCACCTCCATCATCTAGATACCCCCACCCACATGATCAGGTTACCCCCATCTCCATCACCTGATCTGGATACCCCCACCCCTATCATCTGGTTACCCCCACCCACATGATCAGGTTACCCCATCTCCATCATCTCTGGTTACCCCCCCCCCACATGATCTGGTTACCCCCCCATCTCCATCACCTGATCTGGATACCCCCACCCCTATCATCTGGTTACCCCCATCCCCATCTGGTCCATTATCTGGATACCCCATCTAAATCACCTGATTACCCCCAACCTCCATCATCTGGATACCCCCACCTCCATCACGTGGATACCCCCTGACCTCCATCATCTGGATACCCCCACCTCCATCTTCATCACCTGGATACCCCCACCTCCATCATCTGGATACCCCCAACCTCCATCACCTGGATACCCCAATCACCACCTCCATACCCCCCACCTGGATCTGGATACCCCCAACCTCCATCATCCTGGATACCCCCACCTCCATCACCTGGATACCCCACCTCCATCATCTGGATACCCCCAACCTCCATCATCTGGATACCCCCAACCTCCATCATCTGGATACCCCCAAACCCCATCATCTGGATACCCCCACCTCCATCACCTGGATACCCCCAACCTCCATCACCTGACCTCCATACCTCCAACCTCCATCACCTGGATACCCCCACCTCCATCATCTGGATACCCCCCCAACCTCCATCATCTGGATACCCCCAAACCTCCATCATCTGGATACCCCCCCCATCCTCCATCACCTGGATACCCCCCAACCTCCATCACCTGAATACCTCCACCTCCTCCATCACCTGGATACCCCCCACCTCCATCATCTGGATACCCCAATCTCCATCATCTGGATCTGGATACCCACCTCCATCATCTGGATACCCCCACCTCCATCATCTGGATACCCCCCACTCCATCATCTGGATACCCCCAACCTCCATCATCTGGATACCCCCAACCTCCATCATCTGGATACCCCCACCTCCATCATCTGGATACCCCACCTCCATCTGGATACCCCAACCTCATCATCTGGATACCCCCAAACCTCCATCATCTGGATACCCCCACCTCCATCATCTGGATACCCCCACCTCCATCATCTGGATACCCCTAACCTCCATCACCGGATCTGGATACCCCCACCCCTATCATCTGGTTACCCCCTGCCTCCCATCATCTGGATACCCCCACCTCCATCACCTGGATACCACCACCTCCATCATCTGGATACCCCAATCTCCATCACCGATCTGGATACCCCCATACCCTATCATCTGGATTACCCCCATCGTCTCCATTATCTGGATATCCCCACCTCCTCCACCTGGATACCCCCACCTCCATCACCTGGATACCACCATCCTCCATCACCTGGATACCACCACCCCAATCACCTGATCTGGATACCTCCAGCTCAATCACCTGGATACCACCACCTCCATCACCTGGATACCCCCACCTCCATCACCTGGATACCCCCCTCCACCATCACCTGGATACCCCCACCTCCATCACCTGGATACCCCCAATCTCCATCACCTGGATACCACCACCTCCATCACCTGGATACCACCCCTCCATCACCTGGATACCCCCACCTCCATCACCTGGATACCCCCACCCCATCACCTGGATACCACCACTCTCCATCACCTGGATACCACCACCTCCATCACCTGGATACCACCACCCTCCATCACCTGGATACCACCACCTCTGGATACCATCACCTGGATACCCCCACCTCCATCACCTGGATACCCCCACTCCATGGATACCTGGATACCACCACCTCCATCACCTGGATACCACCCATCATCTCCATCATCCCTGGATACCCTCCACCTCCATCACCTGGATACCACCATCCACCACCTGGATCACCCCCACCTCCATCACCTGGATACCTCCATCCATCACCTGGATACCCCATCACCTCCCATACACCACCTGGATCACCCCACTCCATCACCTGGATACCACCACCTCCATCACCTGGATACCCCCACCTCCATCACCTGGATACCCCAACCTCCATCACCTGGATACCCCCACCTCCATCACCTGGATACCCCACCTCCATCACCTGGATACCACACCTCCATCACCTGGATATACACCATGCCCATCACCTGGATACCACCACCTCCATCACCTGGATACCACCACCTCCATCACCTGGATATACCCCACCTCCACCACCTGGATACCACCACCTCCATCACCTGGATACCACCACTCTCCATCACCTGGATACCCCCACCTCCACCACCTGGATACCACCACCACCACCATCACCTGGATACCACCACCTCCATCACCTGGATACCCCCACCTCCATCACCTGGATACCCCCACCCATCCATCCACCTGGATACCCCCACCTCCATCACCTGGATACCACCACCTCCATCACCTGGATACCACCACCTCCATCACCTGGATACCACCACCTCCATCACCTGGATACCCCCACCTCCATCACCTGGATACCACCACCTCCATCACCTGGATACCACCACCTCCATCACCTGGATACCACCACCTCCATCACCTGGATACCCTCCACCTCCACCCCACCTGGATACCCCCACGTCCACCATCCCTGGATACCAACCACCTCCATCACCTGGATACTACCACCTCCATCACCTGGATACCCCCACCTCCATCACCTGGATACTACCACCCACCACCTCCATCACCTGGATACCTCCACCTCCATCACCTGGATACCCCCACCTCCATCACCTGGATACCTCCACCTCCACCACCTGGATACCACCACTTCCATCACCTGGATACCACCACCTCCATCACCTGGACACTGCCATCTCTGGTTGTATATACCATGACATACTCCAGGTGTAAAGGTGTGACCATCCAGCTCCATCACCTGGACACTGCCATCTCTGGTTGTATATACCATGACATACTCCAGGTGTAAAGGTGTGACCATCCAGCTCCATCACCTGGACACTGCCATCTCTGGTTGTATATACCATGACATACTCCAGGTGTAAAGGTGTGACCATCCATCATGGACCAGGATACCACCACCTCCATCACCTGGACACTGCCATCTCTGGTTGTATATACCATGACATACTCCAGGTGTAAAGGTGTGACCATCCAGATCCATCACCTGGACACTGCCATCTCTGGTTGTATATACCATGACATACTCCAGGTGTAAAGGTGTGACCATCCCAGGCTCCATCACCTGGACACTGCCATCTCTGGTTGTATATACCATGACATACTCCAGGTGTAAAGGTGTGACCATCCAGCTCCATCACCTGGACACTGCCATCTCTGGTTGTATATACCATGACATACTCCAGGTGAAAAGGTGTGACCATCCACCTCCATCACCTGGACACTGCCATCTCCATCAGCTGGATACCCACACCTCCATCACCTGGATACCCCCATCTCCATCACCTGGATACCACCACCTCCATCACCTGGAGACCACCACCTCCATCACCTAGACACTGCCTTCTCTGGTTGTATATACCATGACATACTCCAGGTGTAAAGGTGTGACCATCCAGCTCCATCACCTGGACACTGCCATCTCTGGTTGTATATACCATGACATACTCCAGGTGTGAAGGTGTGACCATCCAGGTCCATCACCTGGACACTGCCATCTCTGGTTGTATATACCATGACATACTCCAGGTGTAAAGGTGTGACCATCCAGATCCATCACCTGGACACTGCCATCTCTGGTTGTATATACCATGACATACTCCAGGTGTAAAGGTGTGACCATCCAGATCCATCACCTGGACACTGCCATCTCTGGTTGTATATACCATGACATACTCCAGGTGTAAAGGTGTGACCATCCAGCTCCATCACCTGGACACTGCCATCTCTGGTTGTATATACCATGACATACCCCAGGTGTAAAGGTGTGACCATCCACCTCCATCACCTGGACACTGCCATCTCTGGTTGTATATACCATGCCATACTCCAGGTGTAAAGGTGCCATCTCTGACCATCCATACTCCATCACCTGGACACTGCCATCTCTGGTTGTATATACCATGACATACTCCAGGTGTAAAGGTGTGACCATCCAGCTCCATCACCTGGACACTGCCATCTCTGGTTGTATATACCATGACATACTCCAGGTGTAAAGGTGTGACCATCCACCTCCATCACCTGGACACTGCCATCTCTGGTTGTATATACCATGACATACTCAGGTGTAAAGGTAAAGGTGTGACCATCCAGATCCATCACCTGGACACTGCCATCTCTGGTTGTATATACCATGACATACTCCAGGTGTAAAGGTGTGACCATCCAGCTCCATCACCTGGACACTGCCATCTCTGGTTGTATATACCATGACATACTCCAGGTGTAAAGGTGTGACCATCCAGCTCCATCACCTGGACACTGCCATCTCTGGTTGTATATACCATGACATACTCCAGGTGTAAAGGTGTGACCATCCAGCTCCATCACCTGGACACTGCCATCTCTGGTTGTATATACCATGACATACTCCAGGTGTAAAGGTGTGACCATCCAGCTCCATCACCTGGACACTGCCATCTCTGGTTGTATATACCATGACATACTCCAGGTGTAAAGGTGTGACCATCCAGCTCCATCACCTGGACACTGCCATCTCTGGTTGTATATACCATGACATACTCCAGGTGTAAAGGTGTGACCATCCACCTCCATCACCTGGACACTGCCATCTCTGGTTGTATATGACATACATGACATACTGGACCAGGTGTAAACCATGGTGTGACCATCCAGCTCCATCACCTGGACACTGCCATCTCTGGTTGTATATACCACACATACTCCAGGTGTAAAGGTGTGACCATCCAGCTCCATCACCTGGACACTGCCATCTCTGGTTGTATATACCATGACATACTCCAGGTGTAAAGGTGTGACCATCCAGCTCCATCACCTGGACACTGCCATCTCTGGTTGTATATACCATGACATACTCCAGGTGTAAAGGTGTGACCATCCAGCTCCATCACCTGGATACCACCACCTCCATCACTGCCATCTCTGGTTGTATATACCATGACATAGGTGTAAAGGTGTGACTCCAGGTGTAAAGGTGTGACCATCCATCTCCATCACCTGGACACTGCCATCTCTGGTTGTATATACCATGACATACTCCAGGTGTAAAGGTGTGACCATCCATCTCCATCACCAGGATACCACCACCTCCATCACCTGGACACTGCCATCTCTGGTTGTATATACCATGACATACTCCAGGTGTAAAGGTGTGACCATCCAGCTCCATCACCTGGACACTGCCATCTCTGGTTGTATATACCATGACATACTCCAGGTGTAAAGGTGTGACCATCCAGCTTCATCACCTGGACACTGCCATCTCTGGTTGTATATACCATGACATACTCCAGGTGTAAAGGTGTGACCATCCAGCTCCATCACCTGGACACTGCCATCTCTGGTTGTATATACCATGACATACTCCAGGTGTAAAGGTGTGACCATCCAGCTCCATCACCTGGACACTGCCATCTCTGGTTGTATATACCACGACATACTCCAGGTGTAAAGGTGTGACCATCCATACTGTAGTGTTTTACATTCTCATCCTCCCTGCAGAGGGCTCTATCAGAAGAATGATACAGTACACCAACACCCCCTCACCCATCTTTGGGTTAAACTACAACTGTAATATAAGCTGTCCATTGACAGATTGTAATTTCTGTTGTAATTTCAAAGAATCAGGTGTTCCTTAAAGTCTTTCAAACAATACGTATGTTATATGTTGAAAAATTCACAGCTTGAAGTTGATTGGTTGGTTGGTTTTTCAACGCTGCACTCAGCAATATTCCAGCTATATGGCGGCGGTCTGTAACTAATTGAGTCTGGGCCAGACATGATCAACCATCAACAACATCAACAGCATGGGCATCCATCTACGCAACTGGGATACGATGACATGTGTCAACCATGACATGTGTCAGCGAGCCTGACCACCAGATCCGGTTAGTCGCCTCTTATGACGAGCATTGGTTACCAAGACCAATTCTAACCTGGATCTGCAATGGTGATCTTCTGAGGGTTACGCCATCCAGAGCGTATCAAGATCAGTCTTTAGTATATATTCAGAAATAGCTTTCAATCGCTTTTCACTGTCAGAAAGGAAAGCAAAATTAAAGGGGGTACAATCTGTTCCTAAAAAGGAAGAAGACCAGGGCCAGTTCCTGAAAGCGATCGTAGCGCTAAGGTGATCGTTACTCCCATACTTTAACATAGACTTACGATAGTCCGATAGTTCGACGATAGTCGTGGCTAAGGTGATCGTTACTCCCATACTTTAACATAGACTTACGATAGTCGTAGCGCTAAGGTGATCGTTACTCCCATACTTTAACATAGACTTACGATAGTCGTAGCGCTAAGGTGATCGTTACTCCCATACTTTAACATAGACTTAAGACAGTCCCATACTTTAACATAGACTTAAGACAGTCGTAATGCTACGATCGCTTTGAGGAACGGGACCCAGATCTATTACTTCTAACCTGGATCTTCACAGGACACAGTTGGAAGTATTTCCAAACAATCATGTGCTAATCAACTCATGGCATCACTGTGTTCTGGACTTTCAGCACCATTTTCATGTATTGCTGACTTCACCCATACAAATAACATAACAATTGTTTCCTATTTATATCTTTGTTAGATAATCACATGTACAGCTTGGACTGGAACTCCAGAAGACAATACACAGGAATACTGCATTGCATAATGTAAAATGTAAAACTATCTAGATACACATAAAATGGGGCTCTCTTAAGCTTTAGAAACAAACCAGGGCTTTGAATCCTGACTAGGGTAAAACAACACATATAATAATAAAGATGAGGGTACTTATACCACGCAATACTCTACACCACAAAGGGGCATGCTCAAAGTGCACATAAACAGCAAAAGATTATTACCCCGGATAACCCAAGCTGCCTGTTAGGTGCTAGAAGGTTATAGTCACATGACTTTATCCAACCGAGTACCGGTACCGGTGTTGAATGGGGTAAAATAAGCAAGCCAGTTTGTTGCTACAATAAATATGATATTTAGAGAAGCAAAATATATTATGCATTTTCTGTCAACTACACTTCGTTTCGATCCGTGAGTAGACACAATATATATGACAGTGAATTCTTTGAATAATGTGGACCAAAGTTATAATTATTGGTAACAGCCAGTTGTCTGTGGTCTGTGTTTGCCGCGATTAGGACCCCATCACGGGGGATCGACTTATGCACGAAACATACCATTTTGACACTTATTTTAAGGGTCAAGTTTTGGGGTCATCTTATCCATGGGTCGTCTTATAGACGGTCATATACGGTACCCATTTTCTGCTGGGTGAACAGAGGCTAGTGTTGGGAATTGGTTAAAATCTCATAATTGATGATTGGTTCATTACAACCGATCAATCATCGAAAATAATTGGTTAGCATCATTTATCAAATGTTCCTGTTATCTTTGTTAATGCACACACAAAAAATAAAGAAAAAACATGTAGTAATTTGGGTCTTTTGCAAATTGCACAAAATCCATTGTCAAATTTCGCATATTTAAAGGATTATTAGTATGTTAGGAACACAGATTTCCTGGATTCTTCAAGATAAATTCAACCATGACTTGGAACGAGTTTGTAGTGCTTATGAAATGTAAATTTAATGACACAGACAAAACCAACCTAGTGTAAAATATTGTTGATGCAAACAAGTGTTCCAAAATTGGTTGTGTTCGATTATGAGAAAACACAATCGATTGCTTGGTCGTTTAGGCACCACCACTAACAGAGGCAATTTTGAACAAACTCACTTGCCTAAGGTGAGACCACATGTATCACATGTGTTTTGTTGTGGGGCAGGACTGAAGTCCTAGAAACTCTCAGAAGTCAAGCTGCCAAACACGGTTACCCATCCAAGGACTGTCCACGCTCAATGTTGCTTAACTTCAACTGATTTGTGACCTGAGCGCTGTGCACAGGACCACATGCCACCACATATATACACTGTCAAAGGCATATAATTTGTTTGAACAAATAAGTACACGACAATCAATGATTACTATTCATCACGGCAATATTATGGGTAATATGTTCAATATGTTCATTATTAATCTTCATAAATAGTTTGTATGTTTATGTAATCTGTACAATGCTGAACATCACATCATTATATATAGAAATATTTAGACATATTTAAAGAAATCTACAAAATGATGACACAACATGAATTTCCCTCCTATGCATTTCGACTTCATCTTCAGGGTGAGATTACAGCTGAAAATTATACTGTGACTTTATTAAGTGTTGGTTCATAACTTTATGGATTTCTTTACATATATATACATATACATACCCACAAACCACTTAACCTTTCATTTCACAAACCAAACAAAAACTCCATTTCATTATGAAGACTAACTAGTAACTACCAGGCAAAATGTAAAGTCAACATTTCCATCTTGCATCAATAAGGCAGCACAGAACAGCTCTAACATTCAAATTGATTTGTCAGATATGTCGATGACTGAATTCTCTGTATCAAGATCCCTGCTCAGAAAAGTGTCCCATGATCAGCTTCTTTGCAAGTATTGTTACAATGGACTCCCACCATTAACATATAGAAGTCAATTACTAAACTATCGATAGTCACACATACTATCGATTCATCGATAGTTTTCATTTCTTCCATCGATTAATTGCTATCTGAGACTCAACAATTGCAACCCATCGATAGTTCGATGCATCGTTACAGCCCTATGACTGACTGACTGAGTTTGGTTTTACGCCGCTTTTAGCAATATTCCAGCAACATCACGGCGGGGGACACCAGAAATGGGCTTCACACATTGTGCCCATGTGGGGATTCGAACCCGGGTCTTCGGCGTGACGAGCCAACGCTTTAACCATTAGGCTACCCCACCGCCCCTACAGCCCTATGAAAAGCCCTTACAGACACTGCCTCTTGAGAAAGTAAAAGTGTCACAGCCTACTGGCAGAGGTGCTAACACTTATTGCCAAATGTAAAGTAAAGCTTATAGTGTCTGTTGACTGATGAACAGGCTGACAACTGGTGTATCACAGCCTACTGACGGAGGTGCTAACGGAGGTGCTAAGTGTCTGATAACAGATATAGCAGCATAGGAGAGAGTAAAAAGCAGAGAAAAGCATATAGTGTCTGATAACAGATGAACAGGTTGACAACTGGTGTATCACAGCCTACTGACGGAGGTGCTAGCACGTATAGGCAAAGGCAGAGAAAAGCATATAGTGTCTGTTAACAGATGAACAGGCCGACAACTGGTGTATTACAGCCTACTGACGGAGGTGCTAGCACGTATAGGCAAAGGCAGAGAAAAGCATATAGTGTCTGTTAACAGATGAACAGGCCGACAACTGGTGTATTACAGCCTACTGACGGAGGTGCTAACATTATAGCCAAAGGCAGAGAAAAGCATATAGTGTCTGTTAACAGATGAACAGGCCGACAACTGGTGTATCACAGCCTACTGACGGAGGTGCTAGCACGTATAGCCAAAGGCAGAGAAAAGCATATAGTGTCTGTTAACAGATGAACAGGCCGACAACTGGTGTATTACAGCCTACTGATGGAGGTGATAGCACGTATAGGCAAAGGCAGAGAAAAGCAGACAAACAGGCATGTTCACAAACTGCTAGGTTTAAGTAGCATTTCAAATATGGATATTCACTGGAGGCTTATGTAATAAGACATATCTGTGAAAAATAGACAGCAAAGGCACATTCTATAAGGCTTAAGCCAACCATCTGTATAATCCTCTTACAATGATTATTTGTCAGCGAATAACACACCTACAATGGCTGTTCTCATTTGTTACTGAATGACCCTCCTACAATGGCTGTTCTCATTTGTTACTGTATGACCCTCCCACAATGGCTGTACTCATTTGTTACTGTATGACCCTCCCACAATGGCTGTTCTCATTTGTTACTGTATGACCCTCCCACAATGGCTGTTCTCATTTGTTACTGTATGACCCTCCTACAATGGCTGTTCTCAATGGCTGTATGACCCTCCCATTTGTTACTGTTACTGTATGACCCTCCCACAATGGCTGTTCTCATTTGTTACTGTATGACCCTCCTACAATGGCTGTTCTCATTTGTTACTGTATGACCCTCCCACAATGGCTGTTCTCATTTGTTACTGTATGACCCTCCCACAATGGCTGTTCTCATTTGTTACTGTATGACCCTCCTACAATGGCTGTTCTCATTTGTTACTGTATGACCCTCCTACAATGGCTCATTTGTTACTGTATGACCCTCCTACAATGGCTCATTTGTTACTGTATGACCCTCCTATAATGGCTGTTCTCATTTGTTACTGTATGACCCTCCTACAATGGCTGTTCTCATTTGTTACTGTACAATGGCTGTTCTCATTCCCACAATGGCTGTTCTCATTTGTTACTGTATGACCCTCCTACAATGGCTGTTCTCATTTGTTACTGTATGACCCTCCCACAATGGCTGTTCTCATTTGTTACTGTATTTGTTACTGTCTGACCCTCCCACTGAATGGCTGTTCTCATGGCTGTTCTCATTTGTTACTGTATGACCCTCCTACAATGTCTGTTCTCATTTGTTACTGTATGACCCTCCCACAATGTCTGTACTCATTTGTTACTGAATGACCCTCCCACAATGGCTGTTCTCATTTGTTACTGTATGACCCTCCTACAATGTCTGTACTCATTTGTTACTGAATGACCCTCCCACAATGGCTGTTCTCATTTGTTACTGTATGACCCTCCCACAATGTCTGTTCTCATTTGTTACTGTATGACCCTCCTACAATGTCTGTTCTCATTTGTTACTGTATGACCCTCCTACAATGTCTGTTCTCATTTGTTACTGTATGACCCTCCTGTCAATGTTACTGTATGACTCATTTGTTACTGTATGACCCTCCTACAATGTCTGTTCTCATTTGTTACTGTATGACCTCATCCCACAAATGGCTGTTCTCATTTGTTACTGTATGACCCTCCCACAATGGCTGTTCTCATTTGTTACTGTATGACCCTCCCACAATGGCTGTTCTCATTTGTTACTGTATGACCATCCTACAATGGCTGTTCTCATTTGTTACTGTATGACCATCCTGCAATGGCTGTTCTCATTTGTTACTATATGACCATCTTACAATGGCAGTTCTCATTTGTTACTGTCTGACCATCCTATAATGGCTGTTCTCATTTGTTACTGTATGACCATCCTACAATGGCTGTTCTCATTTGTTACTGTATGACCATCCTACAATGGCTGTTCTCATTTGTTACTGTATGACCCTCCCACAATGGCTGTTCTCATTTGTTACTGTATGACCCTCCTACAATGGCTGTTCTCATTTGTTACTGTATGACCCTCCTACAATGGCTGTTCTCATTTGTTACTGTCTGACCATCCTGCAATGGCTGTTCTCATTTGTTACTGTCTGACCATCCTACCATGGCAGTTCTCATTTGTTACTGTCTGACCATCCCACAATGGCAGTTCTCATTTGTTACTGTCTGACCATCCTACCATGGCTGTTCATACAGGTTCTTGAACACAAGTTTCTTCAACAGAGTGTAGTCATCATCTGACAAGATGGGGGCCATTTCGGGATAACTACACTCACTAAAGATTTCCCGGAGGTTCTTCAGAGATGAAAATGCAGCTGCACACCTGGAAAGAAAACTGTATATTTAAGACACACTTCCTCAACATGATGTTTTCTACTCAAAAGAAATTAAGGTTCATTTGATTCTTTCATGTGGTCATAGTGCTTTTGATGCACCTTTGCAGAGAAATAGTTACCCTCCCTTAATTCTTTTTACATTTTGGATGACCCTTGATTTCATGATCTTCACAGAAAAGACAAAAAGCAAAACCAATGTGTATTACTGCTATTATTATGTTTTACAGATTATGATGAAAATGCAGCAGAGAGGGTTCGGGTGATCCTGGCACAGTCAGGCTGGTAAGGCTCATCATCAGCTCAGGGCCCTCGCCCCCTCAACACGCAGCCCAGATAGCGAATGGGACTTCTCCCAGGAAACGCTGCCTAGTCGAACCCACCAAGAATTTTCCGGAGATTTGTGTAGACTCCCCAACACTGCAGCCTTCTGCTTTACCCAGAGTGTGAGAAGGGCTGTGCTCCCGGTTGAGAACCCGGGCACTCTCCTGATATGCGCCAGGAGATCAGGAGTTACCAAACCAAGGGCACCGAGAACAATGGGGAGCCTGACGACAGTGTACTTGGGATGCAAGCGAGACATTTCAAAGGCGAGGTCTGCATATTTATCATGCTTTTCCTGAATCTTGCCAATCACATTGCTGTCAAAGGGGACAGAAAATTCAATGATATAAATAAATTCATTGGCTTTATCAAAAAGGACAAGATCAGGTTTGTTGGCAGGAATTCTTCTCAGGAGCTGTATATGGGCCTATTCCACAGAAGCTTGAAAGCATCATTTACCATGATGCCCTGGACATGTTGAGGGTCGTACCATGGGTGAACCTCAGAGTCAAAGCACAGGCATGGCGAAGATGATAGTAGAAGCAACGGGCCATGCCATCATGTTGTTTAAGATATGCTGTTTGTGCCAAGGATGGGCATCCACTGACAAGGTGTTGGACAGTCTCTTTAAATTCATTACATAGTCGGCATTTCATGTTAATATTTTCTTTAAGAATCACATTTTGGCGATAACGAGTGGGAAGTGACAGGTCCTGAGTAGGAAAAAGGAAGCCCTCAGTTTCACATTTGTGACCAGCCGACTTCATCCAGGTGAAGGAGTCGGTTGGATTGCTATTCTGTTCCACACACTACATGTACAAACGATGCAGTGGTTTCTCAGAAAGCTTCTCCACAAATGACCGACTCTGGGCAGACTTGGTGAAGGACTTCACCTGGTTTACTCCCATCGCTGTACCGTCCAGCAGTACATCGCAATCAACAAAATCAACATCAAATTTCAGATTTTGTCTAACAACCTTGGCACGCTTAAGATAGCTGTGGAATTCCTTGCTTTCATCATGAGTCTTGACATGCATCACCAGATGGTCATCCGATAAATAAATTTGTGCAAAAGTACACAATAAAATTCTGTCATGAAGAGCCTCCACATTCATCAAACCCTGACCTCCAGAATTTATTGGCATTGAGCTCTGTTATCAGACATGATCCTTCTGGTCTGGTTGTCAAGACTCTGGATGTCTTGTTTTGTCCAATCAACTACTCCAAAGGAATAGGAAAGGACCCGTACAGCAAAAGTATTGGTAGCTTTGACCTTGTTCCGAGCATTTAGCTCTGAGCTCCAGATTTTCTTTAAGTGAGATTTGATCTCGGCCCGAAGCTTGTCTTGAATCTGGGCATTCTGGAGTTTGTCTCCAACTTGCATTCCAAGATAGGTGTAGGCCTGATCTTCCAGAAGATGCTCAATAAAAAAATATATGTTTATATGCATATATAAACAGATCAGCATGAAGGAGAAAACAATTGGAACATCTTTCCTTTTGGGTGTCCATTGTTTCAGAGGGAGTCTTATAAGGAAGCATGTAATGGAAAGACCTGTGACAGTGACAATGTTTCCTCATTGGATGGGTGGGTAGGCTGCAGTGTGCAAAATAGTTTCCAAATATTGCTTGCCAGTCAGGCTGGCTATGCCTGAAAGTTAATAGCCCACAAAATAATTCACTTACCCAAAATTTGAATGTAGCAATTTAGCAAAAGATTACAAAAAAGGTAAAATACCATCATTTATCAGGCCATAATCTTGCATTATTTAAAAGTGTATAATAACTTAACAAGTCGGAAACAGTGATATATTTAAAGAATGACCCCATGAAAATTCACTAGCCAGTCAGGCCAGTGACTGTGGAGATTTACTGGCCCGACTGGATTTTTACTAGCCACGGGCTAGCAGGCACGTGGCTATTTCGCACACTGGTAGGCTGTAACTGATTTGACGTCAGCAGATTTAGCTTTGCAACAGCCAGTGACATTTGATGTTGCTGAAACTGACACAACCAGCCTCGCTGGTAGTGGTGTTGCCATTCGTCTGTGTGGACATCTTTTAAGTCTAGTCCGTCAGTATTAAGGAGTCACTCAGGGCTTTGTCTATTGTACTTTAGTACTTTAGTAGACCACAGTCTACAGGATACCCACCCATTCTGACCTGTACATTCATTTCAACTCTAACCATCCTTCTGGTGTCATCTCAAACCTGAGCAAGCACACCATGAACATCTGCTCCAGCAACAATGACCTTGAAAATGAGCTTAATCATCTGCACCTCAACCAGTATCTCACCAAGTTGGTCAAGAGAACTATTCCCGACACCCCTACAACTCAAGCCCAAATTGCCTATGCCCGAGTCAGATTCAAAATAAGTCCACATTACATTGACAAGATCTTTCACCAAATCATAAGCACCAAGTAGGCATCGAGACCATCTTCACTGGTTCCCAATCCCTCAGAACCATCCTCCAAGCTAATGACTGCAACCCACCCTTAAATAAAAGCAAACCCCTACAAGATAAACTGTGAATATGGTGACTCACAGTCATACATAGATGAAACCTCCCATCTCTTCAATACTTGTATTAAAAAGCATAAAACATCAACAGCCAGGGCAGATAGCAAATCAGCCAACAAAGGCCACAAACAAAAGATCCCCAACCATCAAATTCAGTTTGACAAACCCAAAATCCTGTCCACCAAAACTCAGGACTCCATGACTCTATCAACACCAGTCAATGAAGAGTTAATCAAGCAACAGACTCAAACTATTCAAGTAGCTTGCTTTTACAAATGAATCCGTCCTGTATATTGGCTTTATAACTTGTGCAATTTGTTGTTCTAACTCTCTTCCTCATCCAATCTTGTGCCACTTGTTTAAGAAATACGGTTCTCTCTACCACTGTACATGGTGGTAGAGCGAACTGTATTTCTTTTCTATGTAAGCCAAATTTAATACTTACCGATGATAAATCTAAGGCAAAGCGACTCTACCCCTGGCCTTCCATTCCCCAGACAGACTCAATCCCTGGCCTTCCATACCCTGGGCTGACTCTACCCTGGCCTTCCATCCCCCAGGCAGACTCTACCCCTGGCCCTCCCATCCCCCAGGTAGACTCTACCTCTGACCTTCCATCCCCCAGGTAGACTCTACCTCTGGCCTTCCATCCCCCAGGTAGACTCTACCCCTGGCCTTCCATCCCCCAGGCAGACTCTACCCCTGGCCTTCCATCCCCCAGGTAGACTCTACCCCTGGCCTTCCATCCCCCAGGTAGACTCTACCCCTGGCCTTCCATCCCCCAGGCAGACTCTACCCTGGCCTTCCATCCCCAGGCAGACTCTACCCTGGCCTTCCATCCCCCAGGTAGGCTCTACCCTGGCCTTCCATCCCCAGGTAGACTCTACCCTGGCCTTCCATCCCCAGGTAGACTCTACCTCTGGCCTTCCATCCCCAGGTAGACTCTACCCTGGCCTTCCATCCCCAGGCAGACTCTACCCCTGGCCTTCTGATCCCCCCCAGGCAGACACTACCCTGGCCTTCCATCCCCCAGGTAGACTCTACCCCTGGCCTTCCATCCCCCCAGGTAGACTCTCTACCCTGGCCTTCCATCCCCCAGGTAGACTCTAGCTCTGGCCTTCCATCCCCCAGGTAGACTCTACCCCTGGCCTTCCATCCCCCAGGCAGACTCTACCTCTGGCCTTCCATCCCCCAGGTAGACTCTACCTCTGGCCTTCCATCCCCCAGGCAGACTCTACCCCTGGCCTTCCATCCCCAGGTAGACTCTACCCCTGGCCTTCCATTCCCCAGGTAGACTCTACCTCTGGCCTTCCAGCCCCCAGGCAGACTCTACCCCTGGCCTTCCAGCCCCCAGGTACACTCTACCCCTGGCCTTCCATCCCCTGGGCAGACTCTAACCCTGGCCTTCCATCCCCCAGGCAGACTCTAACCCTGGCCTTCCAGCCCCAAGGCAGACTCTACCCATGGCCTTCCATCTCCCTGGCAGACTCTACCTCTGGCCTTCCAGCCCCCAGGCAGACTCTACCTCTGGCCTTCCAGCCCCCAGGCAGACTCTACCTCTGGCCTTCCATCCCCCTGGCAGACTCTACCTCTGGCCTTCCAGCCCCCAGGCAGACTCTACCCCTGGCCTTCCATCCCCCAGGCAGACTCTACCCCTGGCCTTCCATCCCCCAGGCAGACTCTACCCCTGGCCTTCCATCCCCCAGGCAGACTCTACCCCTGGCCTTCCATCCCCCAGGCAGACTCTACCCCTGGCCTTCCATTCCCCAGGTAGACTCTACCCCTGGCCTTCCATTCCCCAGGTAGACTCTACCCCCTGGCCTTCCATCCCCAGGTAGACTCTACCCCTAGCCTTCCATCCCCAGGTAGACTCTACCCTAGCCTTCCATCCCCAGGCAGACTCTACCCTCCTTCCATCCCCAGGCAGACTCTACCCTGGCCTTCCATCCCCAGGCAGACTCTACCCTTGGCCTTCCATCTCCCCAGGCAGACTCTACCCTGGCCTTCCATCCCCCAGGCAGACTCTACCCTTGGCCTTCCATCTCCCAGGCAGACTCTACCCCTAGCCTTCCATCCCCCAGGCAGACTCTACCTCTGGCCTTCCATCCCCCAGGCAGACTCTACCCTGGCCTTCCATCCCCCAGGCAGACTCTACCCTGGCCTTCCATCCCCCAGGCAGACTCTACCTCTGGCCTTCCATCTCCCAGGTAGACTCTACCCTTGGCCTTCCATCCCCCAGGCAGACTCTACCCTTGGCCTTCCATCTCCCAGGTAGACTCTACCCTTGGCCTTCCATCCCCCAGGCAGACTCTACCTCTGGCCTTCCATCCCCCAGGCAGACTCTACCCTGGCCTTCCATCCCCCAGGCAGACTCCACCTCTGGCCTTCCATCCCCCAGGCAGACTCTACCCTGGCCTTCCATCCCCCAGGCAGACACAAGACCAGAGTTGTGGTGCTGTAACATGTAACACATTCATTGCCTATGACACTGAGGAAAATATACTTACTCCTGACAAAACACTTTGTCCACGATGTCGTCTGTACATGCAGTGAAATGGTCAATTGAATCAGGGTCCAAGCCTGAAGCACAGAACAGTGAGTGAGGTATTACAGTTATATTACAGCATCAGTTGAGTGTGTGAAGCCAAAGAAAGTGAGACAGATCTTTTATGAACCCTGGAGGCAAGGCGTGGTGCTTACTCAATAATGATGATAATAATAAATAATAATAACAATAATAGTGCATATTTATAATGTGCACATATCCACGCTCGTAATCATGCTCTTTGTGCTAACACATTTTTACCCCCAGATAACCCAAGCTGCCTGTTAGGCTCTAGAAGGTTATATACATGTAGTCACATGACCTATCCCATACTGAGCCTAATCCAACATTCCAAACTACCTTCGTCATGAATGATGGACAGAAATATGAGGTTTTGGAGGGGTTTCAAAGGAGGGGTTTCACATAATGTGGAGACAATGAAGGTATCAGTATGTCTATCACCAATGGAACATTGAATATAAGTTTAGGGGATACGGATGGTGTTTGGAGGTACCTACCAGACAGATATAGAAAATGTGTTATCATACCCTACATTCTACAATGGAGACAGTGAGATGGCTTCATCAACACTGTGAGCAGTACCTCAGTTACATCACACAATGTTTGTTTGTCATGTTAGGCCACGTTCGGCACTTTCATGATATATAATCAACTGTCAACCAGACAATCCAGTGACTGACATCACGAGCATCAATCAGCTGAGTTACGATATGCCCTTATTCACCCACTATGTCAGCATTGGTCGATCAGCTGAGTGACGATATGACCTCATTCACCCACTATGTCAGCATTGGTTGATCAGCTGAGTGACGATATGACCTCATTCACCCACTATGTCAGCATTGGTCGATCAGCTGAGTGACGATATGACCTCATTCACCCACTATGTCAGCATTGGTCGATCAGCTGAGTGACGATATGACCTCATTCACCCACTATGTCAGCATTGGTCGATCAGCTGAGTGACGATATGACCTCATTCACCCACTATGTCAGCATTGGTTGTTGAGGAAAATATAAACCAGATCTTAACAGGGCGACGCCACATCAGTTTGTTGTGGGTTTGACGCACATGCCAGTTTGATGTGCAACACAAGTCTATTCATCATTTCATTGATAGCACTGATGGGGTGATGACAAAACCAACACTATCCAAATATCACAACCAAGGTGAATTTTGGATTCAAACAGCTGACCAGCACCTTAACAAAGGGATGTTACTCGATTCAGCCTGCAACAGCATCACAAACAAGAGGGCCACTGCTGCCCCTCTCATGAAAGAATGGTTTCAGAAACCTATTGTTTTACCTCCACTACGTGCATCTTTCTCTGGGAAGAGTTCGGGATTCTCCAGCAGCTCTCTGATAGTCAGTTCATTCGGCTCCCAGATGGCGTGCCAGTCCATGTTGGATTCGCCTACCTGGTAGGCAGTCTCCAGTTTGTCTGTTGTCAAGGTAACAATATTTTGTTGAATGAACAAACTCAACATTAAAAAATATTACAAACAAAAGGTAATCTAATTTAGTCATGGCCGTCAACTTTTTGATGGACAGAATAATAAGATACAGAAAGATAAATGTATTGCTACAGCTGTATTAATAGAACATATTTACATACATATTCCTTAACATCTTATGGGATATTTTGAGCATCGATTTGATCGACATATCTGAATGGATACTGGGAGCTGTTGGCAACAAATCAGATACGATTTGGGCAGGGACTGATGTATGTAAAGCTTCATTTCAAGTAATAATAAAAAGAGTCTACATTGATCAAATGTTAACTCTCTGCTGTAAGGTTTTATTCATATAAGATACCTGAAGAAAATAAATCCAATGATATACATGTACATGTAAATACAGAATTTGTTTTTTCCCTCTTTATTTACCAAGAAAATAGCTATTAAGCATTAATTTCATGATATAAGCCAGTTGCAATGTATGGTATTGTTTGGAAAGTATTAAAGCAAGGAGACATTGAATTATCCGACAAGCTGTAGAATCTGACATTTTTCCCCGGTCCCAGTGAATGTCGGATTATGCAGCTGCCATTGTACATGTAAGAGAGGCAACTCAATTTTCATAATGAATCTTTACAGTTCTTGAGTAATGGGCAGAAATGACATTTTCTATTTGCCAGCCATGCTTAAAAGTTGGATCAGAATTCTGTGAGCTTTTCAGAAGCAGGAATCCTGGATCATTTGTACAAAGTTTCAGCAGTTGAACCATTGTGTCTCGTAGTTCCAGAGGAGATGTTCAAAATGTAACGGATAATGGCAGATGGCTAGCCAGACAGACAACCATGCTGAACTAAAACTATTAGGGGAATTTTGGGCTAGATGACCTGACTGTTAGTGTTGACCTGTTCCAGTGCACACATACCTTTAAAGTTTCGGAGGAAGGTCCTCCTCGACTCGGCTAATGCTGTTTCTGAAACCAAGCATCCATTATGAAACATTGAGCTGAAGTGCAAAGCCAGAGTTTTATGAGGGATTTTATCTGGAACCAAATAAAGTGCCCTTGGCTGGAATTGTTTGAACAAATAGTAATAATGTTGACACTGGATCTTATTTATATCCCTACTGTCATAATTTCTGAGGAAATGGGGAATTCTGAATTATTTTAGTTTTGGTATCTTTAATGTCATTTCTCACAGACTTGCTGCTATCAACTAGGGCTGCAATGATTTGATTCGATTCATCGAAAATCGAATCTGACACCTTAGTTTTGATTTTCGATAAACATTATCACAACTTCAATTCGATATTTGAAAACCTATTTAAATTATTTCCACACAACCAGAACATAATTTTGACCCAACTCGAGCAGTTTGGAGCGCTGAAATAAGGCAAAACTTGATTGGTTGACACTGGGCTAATTATCCAATGAGAATTGTTGCTAGTAGACATAGCCAAGTTGACAATGGATTTCATGATATGATAAAAAAGACGACTCTGAGAGTAAAATGAAATCTGATGTTTACACTTGTATGAAGAATTGAATCGCAAATGATCAAATCAAGGGTCCAATATCAAAAATCAAATTGAATCGAGGCCTGGTTGAATCGTTGCAGCCCTATTATCGACCTTCGAGTAGGTCTAGATAAATCCATTGTTACTTTTATCTATATTTGTGCTAATGAATACACAATGCCATTAAAAATGTGGTCAAATGTAACATATGTTACATTTGGGTTTACACTTTCTCAGTGAAGTACAGATTCCAGTACCATTTTGGGACCACGTGGAAGCCATGGTGGCTGAGCGGGTGTTGGCTATTAGGTGCCTTAATCCGAGGGTGTGAGTTTGAATCCCAGATGGAACTCAATCCAACCCCAATAACCTCCAACTAGAATCTGTACTTTACTGAGGAAGTGTAATTGTTATATTTGAGCTAATATTGACATATCTGCTGTTGCAAATGTTTCTTCCACTGTCATTCATTAACATCAACAAAACAACGTCACATTATTTTTGTAATGTAACAATCTGTAACTGACCTGTGTCCCGTGTGTACGTAAATTGTTCAACATTTCCAGCGATGTGATCAACATTTCTAGAGATGGGATTATCATCCACTGGTTCCATATTCAAACGCTGCTGTTTCTTTACCATGGCTACTGGATCTAGAAAGTATCAAATATAAAGTACTAGTCAAAAGTGATGTTATATTTCACAATAATTCAGTCAGGATTAGGTGTGTCGGCTCAGAGGAAGGAAAGCCTGAAGTGGTGTCTTGTATAGAAGTTTGCCATGAGACCCAATAGGTATTGTGCAGTCACTAGTGGTGGTAGATTGATCGCAGTGACTAAACGACCAAGCGATTGATCATGGTTCCTCATAATCAAACACAAACAATTCTGGAACACTTGTTGGCATTAATATTTTTCACAAGGTTATCTTTGTCTGTGTCGTCAAATTCACATTTCATAAGAACTACGAGCTCGTTCCAAGTTATGATTGAATTTATCTTAAAGATTCCAGGAAGTTTATCTTCCTAATATATATATTTTTTTCATTAACTCCACAATAGGAAAATTTGATAAATGGAATTATCTTCGATGATTTAATGGTTTTAATGAACCAATCGTCAATTATGACACTTTAACCAATTCCCAACACTAGCAATCACACCTGAGTGAGTGAGTTTAGTTTTATGGAGCACTCAGCAGTATTCCAGCTACATGGCGGCGGTCTGTAAATAATCGAGTCTGCGCCAGACAATCCAGTGATCAACAGCATGAGCATCGATCTGCTTAATTGGGAACCGATGACAAGTGTCAACCAAGTCAGTGAGCCTGACCACCCGATCCCGTTAGTCGCCTCTTACGACAAGCATGGGTTACTGAAGATCAATATTCTAACCCGGACCTTCTCTGAAATCATCAGATCCTTGATGCTAAGGTGTAGCATTCTGCACCATAGACCACTTGATTACTCAAACAAACACCAACAGAAATATACCATTTGTACATGGAATAAAGATATGTACCCAGGTCATATTTGTATTATGTAAATGTTATCCAGCTGCTGAGCAGGACTTGAGCAAACAATGGAGTCGATATAAATGCCGAAAAGGTTTAGTAATGTAAAGTATTAATGCAGATGAAATAGATTGTTGTCAGAGTGAGTGAATTTAATTTTAGCAATTTTTGGCATTATCCCGGCAGGGGACCCATGTGATGATTGATGTGATCTTATGATGATATAGTGATGATGTGACAATGTGCCAATGATGTGATATGGTGATGATATGCCAGTGATGTGATGATGACATGGTGACGATGAAACAATGATGTGATGATATGATCATGATGTGATGATATGGTGTAGTATTGATGTGCCAATGATGTGATGACATGATATTGTGAAGTGACGATGTGCCACTGATGTGATGACATGATATGGTGATGTGACGATGTGCCATTGATGTGATGTGATGATGATATGGTGATGGTGTGCAATGATGATATGGTGATGTGACAATGTGCCAATGATGTGATTATGACATGAAGATATGGTGATGTGACGATGTGCCAATGATGCCATGTCATGATGATATGGTGATGATGTGACAATGTGCCAATGATGTGATGATGACATGATCATGATGTGATATAGTGATGTGACGATGTGCCAATGATATGATGATGACATGATGTGACGATATGTTGATGATGAAAATGATGTGATGATGACATGATCATGACGTGATTAAATGGTGATGTGATGATGACATGATGATGTGACAATGATGTCACGATATGGTGATGATGTGAATGATGTGATGATGACATGATCATGACGTGATTATATGGTGACGATGACTTAACAACATTCTGACAATGCGATTATGTGACATTAATGTGTCCCTGACATGATGTGACAATGTGACTATGAAGTGACCATGACGTGACCAAGATGTACATTCCAAACCATCCCTGTTACTTTAAAAACCTTTCTCAAAGAGCCACCTGCCTCAATAGTAAATAGGGGTGGGTATTGCAGAGAATTTCCATATTGCGATATATTGCAATGCGAAAGCATGTATTGCGATATGCATTGCAATATATTGCATGAAGTATTTTTAACCAAAAAACTACTTATAATCGAGTTACTGCTTGATTTATAGAGCAAAAACACAACAAAATCACTATGCTTGATTAAGCTTTAATAACTTTTTTAATCATGATAAAATAAAAATGTGAATAATATTTGGCACAAAGGAAACAACGAAATTTCTGAAGATTTCCGAGTGTTACGACGTTTTCCGAATGCATGTCAAAATACCGGTTTTCGATCAGCGTATTGCAATACGTATCGTTTTCATGTCTGAACCGGTAAATACCAGTAAACCGGTTATATTGCGCAGCCCTATATAGTAATACCTACCAAACAACTGGTACCTTGGCCTTGGTTTCATCTTGGTTATGTTCCTCACCAGCTGGTCCACCGTAGCACTCTACAAGTAGGAAGACACTGTATCCAGCAAGTCATTCACCAGTCTCATTCGAATCACATCAGTAACTCCAATAAATACGTAATGATCTGACAAACCCTCCTCCATATCTTGAAAAAGTACAAACAGGCGGGGATGGTGTGAGTTTGCTATTATGTAATTTTTAGCAATATTCAAGCAAAGGCAAGAGGACGCCACAGAAGTAGACATTGCACGCTGTAACAGGTTTCAAAGTGAGTATGGTTTTATGCCACTTTTAGCAAGATTCCAACAATACCACGACGGGGAACACCAGAAATGAGCTTCACACATTGTACTCATGTAGGGAATTGAACCCGGTTCTTCGGCGTGATGAGTGAACACTTTAACCACTAGGCTACCCCACCCCCTAATTTTCAAAGGGGAATAATGGCTGCACAAAATTTGACTTCAGTAACCCATGCTTGTCTTAAGTGGCCACTAAAGGGATTGGGTGGTCAGACTCACTGACTTGGTTGACACATGTTATTGTATCCCAACTGTGTAGATTGATGCTAATGCTGTTGATCACTGGATTGTCTGGTCCAGACTCGATTATTTACAGACTTCTGTCATATAACTGGAATATTGCTGAGTGGAGTCTTAAACAACAGCCAACCAACCAAGAATAAGGATTTTGATGACTTGGTTTCATTTAAATCAAACCATTTTCTCTTTGTGATACCTCTCTCCATCATCAACCAACTATACACCCTGGTAAATCTGTAAGTAGTGTTAATAACCGTGTTATGTCATATAGTCTTGATACAAAGACATAACATCATAGTGAGTAGTGAGTAAGTGAGTGAGTTGGGAATTACGCTACTTTTAGAGTCCAGCAATATCAAGGCAGGGGTCACGAGAAATGAGCTTCACACATTGTGCCCATGTAAGGAATCGAACCCCATCCTTCGGCGTGACAAGTGAATGTTTTAACCACTAGGCTAATGCACCCCCATAGTGAGTAGGGTTTTGCATCTATACATGGACTTTAATTAGCTAAGACTATCACACCCACAGAAATTTGACAAGAGACAGTGAGTGAGTGAGTGAGTGAGTGAGTTTTAAGCAGCACTCAGCAATATTCCAGCTATATGCCGGCTGTCTGTAAATAATAGAGTCTGGACCAGACAATCCAGTGATCAACAGCATGAGCATCGATCTGCGCAATTGGGAACCGATGACATGTGTCAACCAAGTCACTGATCCTGACCACCCGATCCCGTTAGTTGCCTCTTACGACAAGCATGGGTTACTGAAGGCTCATTCTAACCCGGACCTTCACGGGTAAAATTTGAGAAGAGATGGCTACCATATGAATGACTCACCCTTTTCAAGTGGTAAATATATGATGGTGTTGAGATCTCAAATTGCTGTGTGGCATGGATGACAGCACACTTCTCCACGACATTCTCCCCTTCTTCCTTCCAGAAGTTAACCTGATAGTCAGGCTTGGTACTGTACGAGCGAGAGAACAGACACATACACTCCTGGTCCTGAGTAACGACAAACTGCTTGTCTTCAACTTGCGTATTTGATCTCAGATCAGTCACCACTACATTGATACGATCAACAAACGTTGGAACGAAAGCCTCGAACACTATCCTGGCTTGGGAGATATCCTCTATCACTTCCAATGGTCGAAACTGAAGTTGGCGAAACCTGTTTATAATTCTCCCAGTCTGATCAGCACTTGTGGTTTTCATATAAACATATCTTGTTTTCTTGTTGATGTCTTCATCACTTGCTTCGCGGTAGGAAAATGTTATTATGTCTTTATCTGAATCTGTCATTAGGTTGGGTTTTGTTGTGATGTATCGTATTTGTGTGAAGAGAACGGATTCTTCTCCGGTCGCGATCAAACTCTGCACATGATTAATGCTGATGGGTAAAGTTTTCTGTTCAATTTCATCATTGTCATTGCGGAAAAGGATATTGACCGTAAAGTCATCGCCCTCCATCTGGTATGCTCCTTGTCCATTCAGGAAGTCACTCAACTGTTAACATAAACCAAACGAAAATCTACATATGATTAACAAAAGTTCACATTAGGCCAGACCAATTTTGTTTCTTGTTTTACGGATTTTTGTCCTCAGAAAACCTAAAGGCAGGAGGGAAAAAAATAAAAAATAATAATCACTAGTCAAAATAATTTTCCTTTTAAATACTTAAAGTATTTTATTTTTGCGAATTTTTGAAGTTTATATGGGGCAGAAAACAATCCCAAAAAAATAGTTTACATTTTTGGCCAATAAAAACGAGGATTTTATTAATTAATTATTTTTTTTCTTAGTCTTGAAAAATTACAACCGGCGAATCCGTAAAACAAGAAATAAAATTGGTCTGGCCTTAGGTCTTTATTGTTGATTATCTTTTAGCTGAATCCACCAACCTTAACAAGTACAAGAACAGGTTTTCCCCCCAAGTTAAATGAGTAAGTATGGTTTTATGCCACTTTTAGCAATATCCCAGCAATATCACGGCAGGGATCACTAGAAATGGGCTTTACACTTTGTATCCATGTGGGGAATTAAACCCGGGTCTTCTGTGTGGAGAGCAAACACTGTAACCACTAAGCTACCCCACTGCCCCTGCCCAGTAAAACACACAGGATGAACTGATACCATGGTTTCTCTGGGTGAATTCACTTTCCTTTTGAATTCTTAAGAAATAATTTAGGGGGGCAAAACAAGAAAATAAAGTTCCTGGATGTATATTCGTTGCATCAAGTAAAATAATAACATCAGATATTTTCCCCCTTCATGTCAAGGTACACACAGACAGCAAATGAATGTTAAAAGTTGAAAGATATTATTTAAGGATCATAATTTCTTCTCTTCAGATCCCCTCTATAAGTTTGCAACAAGGGCAGATAACTCTAACTACCCTTCAGTGGTACAGGCCAAGACATGTATGACGCCGATCCACATGATTTACCTACAGTGTACATCACGTACACCACTTACAGGGCAGTTTCATTCCATCTAAACAGAAACATGTCCTACCTCAGTGAGTGCATGATTTAAGTTTTACGCTGCAGTCAGCAATATTCCAGCTATATCATAGTATATGGCAGCGGTTTGTAAATAATCGAATCTGAACCAGACAGTCCAGTGATCCATAGCATTAGCTTCGATCTACTCATTTGGGATGCGATGTCATGTGTCAACCAAGTAAGCGAGCCTGACCACCCGATCCCTTCAGTCGCCTCTTACAACAAGCATGGATTACTGAAGATCAATTTTAACCCGGATCTTCACGGGTATTTCCCACCTCAGCAATATTTAAGTACATAAGCTCATATCAAGGTGGGTTATTAAAAGTTTAACTCACCTCAGTGGAGTCCCAAGCCTGAGGTTTGTATGCCCAGGGAAATGCCATAGTCGTCAATTTCTGGCTCTCTCAGCTGAAATGTATGCTATAATACAATTAAAATGAAAAAGGATTGTTGTCATGGTAATCAATGTGTCCGTAAATCTTTCTCACATGTACACAAGTAGCCAGGTGATATTATGGAGTTTTAATATAAATAAGAACATAAATTACTGAAGATAATCGAGAGATTAGGTTCCTATGCTCACCAGCTATATTCGAAATCACACAATCAAATGTCTTGTCATCCTCGATAATCTCCAGGGTATACGTTCTGATAAATCTCCACTATACCCTGGGTGCATCTATGGCTCAAGCCGATGATTTTATTACCTCCCTTGGTTGATCCAGATTAAAATTACAATGCTGTTCAAGCAGGACCCTTGATGCTGAATCAAATCTGTGTTAATCAAAGATTAACCTTCAGCAGGAAAAGATGTTTCCTGCACATTATGGAGGCGGTGGGGTAGTTGTTAAAGTGTTCGCTCATCACGTTGAAGACCGAGTTCGATTCCCCACATGGGTACAATGTGTAAAGTCCATTTCTGGTGTCCCCCGCCGTGATATTGCTGGAATATTGCTAAAACAGCGTAAAATCAAACTCACTCACTCCTGCATATTATGAATGATATGGGAAGCCATGATGTTCTGTTTGTATCGAGGGTGACAAGCGTAAATTGAGCTGAGTAACTGTAACATGCGACTAGACATGGCGGTAGTCTCAAATAGAATGATTTTAAATTCAAATATCCCTTGCAGATTTCGAAATTTGAATCCAGAATAGTTACTTCATTCTAATACAAGAGATGTTGATTGGTCGATGAATTTGCGTCTTGGGATATGCCATCGACAAGTCACTGACCACTTACCAGCGACCAGGCCACGGTGTATTTGGACCAAGTACTACATTAATGCTCATTTCAATCAAGAATAATTTGAAACGGTCAACCAGTATTTTTTGTGCTGTGACATGTGAGTTGGGCTTATGTGGCTATGGTTGCAAATGGGTCCAGGGTCTCCATCACCATAGAATACTTACTTAATACAATGAACATGCTGACTGATGAGGGATGTTTTGGAGGCAACACAGTCCCCATTGTCAGTCAGTACTTTGAAAGAGGATACAACTAAGTTGTTTTGTATTGCTATACTCAGCAATATTCCCCATATTAGAGGTCTGTAAATAATAGAGTCTGGACCAGACAATCCAGTGATCAACAGCATGAGCATTGATCCACGCAACTGTGAGTGAGTGAGTGAGTGAGTGAGTGAGTGAGTGAGTGAGAGAGAGAGTAAGTGGCTGGAGTTGTTGTTTCTTCTATTTGTAAAAATGTCAACGAGGACAATGTATTCAGAACCACAGAAGCGGTGTTGATGCTACAATGCATAACATTATATCAATACACATTTCTTGAAAGTGAAAGGGGTAGTCAGTTTACAGAAACGGATCATTGCAACGAGGACAATGTATTCAGAACCACAGAAGCGGTCTGATGCTACAATGAACATTATATCAATCATATACAAACAGGGGTAAGAAACGTTGGGCATGGTAAATAATATAATGATATCTGATCATTGCTGAGGAATCTGATTGAAACATATACAAACAGTAAGAGTGAGTGAGTGAGTTTAGTTTTACGCGGCACTCAGCAATATTCCAGCTATATGGCGGCGGTCTGTAAATAATCGAGTCTGGACCAGACAATCCAGTGATCAACAGCATGAGCAACTATCTACGCAATTTGGGTACGATGACATGTGTCTGACCACCTGATCCCATTAGTTGCCTCTCACAACAAGCATGGGTTACTGAAGACCAATTCTAACCCAGATAGACAAGCATGGGATGCTGAAGACCAATTCTAACCCAGGTCTTCAGAGGTTTCATGTAGATGAAAAGAACCCAGCTGACACTATTACAAGACAATTTCTCTATATGTATGAACACACATCAACAGAATGCTATAATGGTAAACTAGACTAATGCGATGAGATTTTCTTTATACATGCCTCTACTCAACATGATCATCCAAAGTCAATTCACGGAGGGTAAGAAAATAGATATATACACTGGGAACAAACAGATTCATGATTTTCACGCTTTTGCCTACATGAAACCAGTGTTAGATTCTTCTGGGAATGTCACTCTGATTTTCTTCACAAAGAGAGAAGAGTGAACGTTCCTGCATTGCTTCGGAAGAAGTGGGGAGATGAACTAGTTGGGAGAACCGTTGATAGGGATAATGTCTGTATGCCCTGTAAACAAACATCTGGGCCCACTTGCACAAAGCGATCTTAGCGCTACGACTATCTTAAGCCTATGTTGGAGAATGGGAGTTACAATCATTGTAGCGCTAAGATCGCTTTGTGCAAGTGGGCCCAGGAAGGCCAAGTTTTCATTCAGTAAATGCCTCCATGAAGTACTGAAATATCATAATGATAATTAAATATAACACTGGTATTAAACCCTATTGCCTATTAGCCTTTCCTTTATTCAAAAACACAACCAGTGAACCTGTGAGGGTATGTTATCATATCAATGACATTCTTTTACAAAGATAGTACCCACAAAACGAAACTGTGCACATAGGACTACAAAATATATTTACTACATGTCTACACAAATACAGAGGTAAACACAGCAATTAATATTGAAATGAAATGAACACATATGTAAATTCACCGGACCTGTACCCTGTACATTGGTTGGTTTGCAGTTTAACGGCACTCATCAATATTCCAGCTATATGACAGCAGTCTGTAAATAATCCAGTCTGGACCACGCAATCCAGTGATCCATAGCATTAGCATTGATCTACTCATTTGGGATGCGATGACGTGTCAACCAAGCCAGTGATCCTGACATCCGATCTCATATTAGTCGCCTCTTATGATAAGCATGGGTTGCTGAAGGCCCATTCTAAACCAGACCTGCATGGTTCTCTCCCTTACAGAGCATGTGTGGGATTAAATCAAGTGACGTTGATGCGGTGTACCAAATCTGCCTGATAACATTTGTGATTTGGCAACAGTCTTGCAGAGAATATGGCAAACCATTCCACAAGTCTTGTATTTTCCCGTTTGATTGATACGATGGGTTTGCAAAGCAATGCTTTTTGTGCAGTTGAGTTTGTGGCATTGTTTCTTGACCCCTTCCCTGCACCTTGACTCGTAATGTCAGCGTCATGGATATTAAACATGCTGTTCTGTCATCATCTTATCATCTCAACATCCACCTATTCAAGTTTCCATGGAAACTTTTCATTGTCGTTATATTTACAAATTTAGAAAGAATTTTATGAATCTTGAAAAAAATGTTCAGTTTCTTTTGTCGATCACAGATCTTCATTGCGGCAAGTTTTACCTTTCCGTTAAACATTGCAATCTTCACAACAAATATTTGATAATTTACTTATGTACTGGTTCACTGTCATCAATGACCATGTTGACATCTAAACTATACCAGTCTAAGTAAACTTAGGCTCAGTATTATTCGGTACACTGCACTACACTGAGTCTAACAACCCTAGTAGAAGGTCGCGTCAGTGCTAAAATAAATACCATTTAGATAAATATGTATCTACAGTTATTTACTTGAGCATACAAAAATGTGCGTAAGTATTGCTGTATCAGTTTTGCAATTATCAGTTAAGTTAGTTCCAAAAAGTATTGATGAAAGAATCAACTGATAACATGTTGATTGATACTGTTATTCTGCACAGTGGATTTGTCAGGTGTTAATGCTTATGTACGCCTTCTAACTAAAACTTTGGGGGAGCTGTGTGATGATGATTTTTATGGAGAAGCATGTATAATGTGAATGACCCCCCCTAAAATATATGTACAAAATAAGTGACCCCCTTGCATTGCATACCTCGTTGGACAAAATACATTGCCAGGTTTGAACGCTTATTGCTTGCATTAGACATTAATGACAATATTCGCAGCGTGCACTTTTGTTACATTATGCAGGGCCCGATGTTGATGACATTTTCGATACACTTTCAAATACCGGAGAAGATGACGATTATGATCTAGCCAAAGGAAAACCTCACTGAGTATTTCCACGCCAATTGTAAACACTGCTTTTGAACTTCACAATTTTCGCATGGCAAAACAGTTGATTCAGAAAGCATAGACACTTATTGTACAAAGGCTCAGGCAACTTGCCAAAACATGTGATTTTACCGATGTTGATAAAGAAATTGCAGCTCAGATTGTGATAGGATGTAACGTCACAGAGACTTAGTAGAAAAGCATTGTGAGAAAATCTACATCTCAGAGACTTACTGAATGCAGGAAAATCACTAGAACTCAGTGAATCACAGGCATCAAATGTTGAGAAATCAGAATCAAAATTTGTAAACAACGTGTCACGTGGCAGAGGTAGAGAAAGATTCAGTGGTTCAAGACATCGTGAGCAAAAATAAATCTCATCATAGAAGCAAATCAAGACATGAGAATGCTAGATACAGACATGAAGGCAAACAATCCTACTCACAAAATACATCAAACAATTCAAGTAAACAATGTTATTTCTGTGGAGGCAATTATCCCCATACAGGCAGATGTCCGCAAGAGGCAAAATATGTGAATCATGTGGTATCAGAAATCATTTTGCAAGCGTATGTAGACGAGAAATCAGCATGCAAGAGTTCAGAATATTGAAACAGAACAAGACAGTACAGTTGTAAATGATTTCATGAATGACTCAGAAGAAAGTTACTACCTGTATCCAATATTTCACGAAAGGCAAGATGAGGAAAGATTTTATGAACGCTTCATCTAATATCAACACTGCTAGACTTGGCTCATCACAGAGAAGAATGCCTATCAAGAACATTGACATTTCGGAAAAGAATTTCCAGTTATCATTGATTCAGGTGCATCAGTAGACGCTATGGATCAGCAAACATGGGATACACTCAAGAGAGAAAACTTGTAGTTAGGCACACCTCAGAAACACTCAACGCAAACTATTTTGCATATGGATCAGATAAACCTTTACCAATCATGGGTGTTGTGACTTTACCAGTGACACATGATCAAGTTCAAGTAGAATGTGAATTTCACATAGTTCGAGGAAGATCAGGAAATCTACTTAGTTTCAAATCAGCAGAGGATCTTGAGATATTGAAGATTGCAAGAAATATCAACACAAGAGATATTACAGATGAATTTCCAGAATTGTTCACAGGTGGCATAGGTAAAATAAAAGACAGACAAGTTGAAACTTCATGTTGATGAAAACATTCAACCAACTCGACAACCACATCGAAGAATTCCATTTCATGTGAGAAAGGATGTAGAAAATGAACTGAAGCGTTTAGAAGAATTAGACATCATCGAGAAAGTTGATGGACCAACTCCTGGGTTAGCCCAATCGTCGAGTCCCGAAGAAATCATCAGGTGTCAGAATATGTGCAGACATGAGAGAAACAAACCAAGCTATTGACGAGAAAAACACATAATGCCAACTATTGAAGATCTCATATCAGACTTAAACGGTTCAACTATCTACAGCAAAAATGGACCTAACCGCGGTTATCACCAGCTAGAACTACACCCTGACAGCAGGTACCTGACTACATTTAGTACACATGTTGGATTGAGGCGCTTCAAGCGTTTATCTTTGGGATCAACACAGCCTCTGAAATTTTCCAAAATGTGATTGCAGAAATCATTCAAGATGTCCCCCGGATGCAGAAATATATCAGATGACATACTTGTTTATGGGAAGAATCAAGCTGAACATGACCAGCGACTGAAGCAATTACTAAAAGTGCTCAGAGACAACGGCATTACTCCTCAACAAGGCAAAATCTTAATTCTCAAAATCAGAAGTCAAGTTCTATGGGCATGTGTTTGGGAAGAATGGAATATCTCCGATCCTGAGAAAATCAAGACAATAATTAACACACCAGCTCCAGCATCAGCAAGTGAAGTCAAATCACTCCTAGGTATGGCGCGAGTACGTTGCCGCGTTATATTCCTGATTATGCAACCATCACAGAACCTCTGAGAAAACTCACACAAGAAATGACACTCCATGGCGATGGGGAAAACTAGAAGAAAAGTCTTTCAAACAACGAGAAATCAGTTCTCAGTTCTGCACAAGTTATGGAATATTTCGATCCAAACAAGAAAATTGAACTTTTGGTCGATGCAAGTCCTGTTGGACTTGGCGCAATACTCACTCAAGAAGGCAAGATTCTCAGCTATGCCAGCCGTGCATTACTGGATCCAGAAACCAGATACTCACAAACAGAAAGAGAAATGTTAGCTGTCGATGGGCGCAGAACACTTTCATCTATACACATTTGGAGAAAACTTCAAGATTATCACCGATCACAAGCCACTCCTTGGTATATTCAAGAGTAGAAAACCTGCTTCTGCAAGAATGGAGCGATGGAGAATCCGGTTAACTCCTACAACTATGAACTTTCGCATATCAACCAGGAAGAGATGAGAACAACCCAGCAGATTACATCAGTCGGCATCCTGTAGCTGAAGAGAAAGTGCAGAGCATAGGTGAAGATTACATCAACTACGTGTGTATGAATGCAGTTCCAAAAGCATTAACCTTCAAAGAAATCCAAGAAGAAACCAAAGAAGATGCAGTACTTCAATCAGTCATATCATCTATTGAATCAGGGAAGATGGAATAACCCTGAGCTCAACAATTTCTTCAAGCTGCGAGAAGAACTAGCTGTATATTAACGGTGTCATACTCATCGCCAGTGATCATCACATTGTTGTTCCGAATCACTCAGACGAAAGAACTGTTGAACTTGCACACATCGGACATCAAGGCATCGTGAAAACCAAGAGACTGATTCGAGAGAAGGTATGGTTTCCTGGTATAGACGACATGGTCGAGAAGATGGTGAAATGCTGCATCCATGTCAAGCTGTCACAGACATGCCAAAAGCGACGAACCTTTGAAGATGACAAACTTACCAGCAGCACCGTGGGCGAATGTATCAGTTGATTTGACAGGTCCATTCCCATCAGGAGACTACATGCTAGTTGTCATGGACGATTACACAAAGATATCCTGAAGTTGAAATCATAAAATCGGCGTCAGCAAGAGCAGTTATCCCAAAACTTGATGCAATATTCGCGACACAAGGTATCCCTGGCTCGTGAAGTCAGACAATGGATCACCTTTCAACAGTAAAGAATTTGCAGATTTTGCGGTATACCTAGGCTTCCATCATCGTGCAGAATTACACCTCTATGGCCTGAAGCAAATGGAGAAGTCGAGAGAGATTCATGAGAATTTTGAAGAAATCGCGTTCAAACAGCCACAGCTGAAAGCAAAAATTGGAAACAAGAATTATGGAAATTCCTGAGACACTACAGAGCTACTCCACACTCAGCGACAACAGTAAGTCCATTTGAATCCCTGACAGGCAGGAAGATGGCTTACAAATACCTGAAGTTCAAAATGAACATATCGTCCAACCAGAAGATCAACCGATCAACTCCGAAGAAGAAAAGATGAAGAAAATAAGCTGAAGATGAGAGAATATGCTGACAACAGAAGAAATACAAAGCCGTCATCGCTAGAAGAGGGAGATGCTGTACTTGTGCACGACAACCTCAACACAATAAGCTGACATCAAAGTATAATCCCCAGCCATATATCATCACTGAGAGGAAGGGCAACATGATAACAGCGCAACGAGATAATCATAACATCACCAGAAATTCATCACACTTCAAGCCAATTCCAGTCAACGCAGATCATCAAATCAACGAAGAAGAAAGCCACGTAGACTTCGACACTGGTATCCAGCCCAACAAAACGAACTGATGATGAAGAGACCATTCCACTGAAGTCATGTCTGAGAAGATCAACAAGAGAGAGGAAGTTTCCCAAAGCGGTTCAAAGACTATGAACTGAATTAATGCTCAATATTGAGTAAACATGGACTGTTATAAATTTTCACCAGTTGTGGACTGTTCTAAGTGTTCAGCAGTTATGGACTGACCAATATGCTAATGTGGTCAAATATGGACTGTTGAAGTGTTGCTGATCAACAAAAAAACAAACCTATGGACTGCTTAGTGTTAAAATAATGTTGTTGATCAATTATCGTGGACAGTTAAAGCGTTGCAAATCACCACATTCATCGGAATTTCCAGTTTAAAGTTTTACATCTTCAGTGAAGAATAGTTAATTCAGTGAAATCCATCAGAGACTCTAAAGTGTAACTGTGTATTCAAGAAATGCCAGGACATTCAGAGATGGAAATAATTATAATCTCTCAAAGTGACATTTAATTCTATTCTATCTGAGAGTTGAAAGTGTTGAAATAATTTTCAATTAATTGTTGATGTTCCACTGTTACAGTTAATGTTACAACAAATATGTGTGGCGCCATAGGTTAATGTGTATGACGTACTACACGGTATCGAGCAGACGACCATTAGATCCAGGGAGCGGTGCGGCCGTCACGTAGACTTACAAGTCAGTGTATTTGAACCATGAAGATTAAAGGGTGTTAAAGTTATATACAACGCTTGTTCTTCCTTGCAATACTTGGACTTCACGATACTATACATGTCCTGTACAAAATCAATGCCCCCCCTTCCCATAATTTCTAAGCATAATTTAAACATAATCTTATGTACAAATTGATGCCACACACACACACACACACACACACACGTACACACTCCCCAGAACAAAATGGGTGACCCCTCTTAAAATCATCATCATCCCCCCACCCCTAGCCATAAATTATGAACGGTCCCTAATCCACAAAAATACACAATGTACACTAACTTTCTGTTTTCTTTCAATCCTGACAATTCAAATATTTGGAATTGCTTTCATGATAAAATGGATGGATATATTTTGCAGATAATTTGCAAACCACACCCAAATAATAATATTCCACAAAGATGACTAGATTTCACATTTAATTAAAAAAAGAAACTGTATTTCATCTTTGTTATTCAATGCGAAGACATGCCCTTATTTTAACAAGTAGCGCAGCAGGGATCGCGAACCAGTCAAGAATTCTGGGATATTATCCGGGTATTCACCGGAAAACAATCACTAACAGAACAACCAGTCCCAGGCAAAATTGCTCAAGATCAGTGGCCTCTTAAATTACTGCAACGGGGTTCTTAGATAACATCTATAGTGAAGTGTCAAATACAGATTTTACATCTTAGCACATAAATTAATAACATAAAAGTGTTAGACAGTTGTTTTCACGAGCTTACCAATCTGCGTTTCCGAACTTCGGTGAGTTGGCATCAGGCGATGCTTCGCTTCGGTCCAATATCTTCTTCATCTAAGTTCTAACACCGGACATTTTTGCTGATATCAAATCGGTTCTCGGGCATACTACTCACAAGGTCTAATCACTACTGTACCAAAACAAATGGCTGCGACGTCAACAAGGATCGGAAAGGGTACCTAACCCTAAATATCGGAGAGGGTCTCTAACCCTAACCCTAAGGATCGCAAATATAAGGTTGTTTGCCTCTGAAGAAGTGCTATATCGTGAGGCCAGTAGCGATATAGCGAGACAGCGGGCGTTATAGTGCGATAATTGCTCAGCGGCGGGCAGTCATCACTGTAGCATCAACACCGCTTCTGTGGTTCTGAATACATTGTCCTCGTCGACATTTTTTGACAAATAGAAGAAACGCTCGCAGCCCTGGTACCAGAATTCCGTCTTAAGTAACAACTCCACACACACACACCCCACCCCCACACACACTAAGTGTACATATGTCAGTTCTTACTCTCTAAGGTCAAGATATGTGTCTGAAATACTATTGAAACACAGGTTGTCTTGAGAAATACGCTTTGGGTGCTACAAGATGTATAAGTGCCAAATGTGTGTTTATTTTCAGTGAAAGTTAATCGACTGATTGTTGACATATGCCTCAACAAAAAAATATTAGAAGTGCTAATTTAATCAGAGACAATACCTTATACTTCCTCTTCTGATGACAACAACGTCGGCTTGATTATTCTAAAACGAAACAAAAAGTAGAAGTCCTATTCCGCGTGAAAACCGTCCTCGTTATAATGCAATGTTGGTATTGTTCCGGGTCCAGACTAAAAATGGATTAACTACAATTTTACACAAATTGGCATCACTATAATTAAGGACCATAATCACCATACGAAATGAAATTGAATTTTTAGTATACAATCTACCATCGAAAGGTGTCGTCGCAGCGCGTTATAATGATGGACTTGTCGCAGTTCCAGTGAATATTAAGCTGGGTCCCGTCTCGCATATCGCAAGGTGGCGCGAGCAAAGGGAGCCGGGAACCAGCGTAAGTCACTCTCCTACCCAGAGTTCCATGCGGCTAGGTCATCACTGTGTCATCATTTGAGTTGGGGGCGGCTCCCTTGGCCCGTGTGAGAGTCACTGAGAAAGGCCAGTCACCGAGAACCCGGGGAGGATAGGGCTACCTAGACTGGCGGCAAGTCTATGTCAACGTCAACGTTTAGCATCAAACTTTCCCCCTCGCCGGGATTTGTTGACCGAGTTCCTTCTTCATAATAACCACTCAACTTCAGCGCTTGCAGCACACTTTGCGCTTATTTTGTACAGAGAGCTCGGGGGAAAACAATACTGTGAGGAACTTGATGAAACGCGATACTTTAACGCATTTGCATCAAAGAACCCAGTCAACTTATATTTATTTGTATGTATTCATAATTTCTCACGTTTTAGTGGAGGTTTATAACCTTATTCAGCGAAAATCTTTTAACAACGGAAAAAGGTGTTCGATCAATCGGTCCGAAGGCCGAGTTGGTTCCGCATGGTATCGCACAATTCGGTACTAAAACATGTTCGCGGTATCGGGTCTACATCACCTATATTAGGGATAATCTACAGCGTCTTCTATTCTCCCTGCTTATACATCACTTATCTATTAATAACATAACACCACATAAAGAGGACATAGAGATTATTAACCGAGTGTGTTTCCGTATCATTAATATATTAGGAATAAAATTGTATTATGCGAGCCTTTGGCGAGCATAGCACATAATTGTTATTCTTAATATATAATATTAATGATAGGCTACGGAAACACACGAGGTTAATAATCTCTTTATCATGTAATGTCATTCTAACATTACTCTAAACAATGTAAACTCGCGACGACGTCATCAATGAAATGTTAAAACGTTTTAGGATTCGCATGTCGTGTATGGAGTTTTGTGAAAGTAGTTCGTGGATTGACGTAATTTGCATAGTAATCAGATTTGGATACCAAGTTTATCAGATTGCTTTATTGCACCGATAACACCCTCCATTAGATGATAAACTTTATTCGGAGCAATAGGTTGTGCAAGTGTAAACAAGATAAGCAATACCTTTGAAACAATGTAGATAACAATGCCAATGCTTGGCACAAAAGAATCTTCTAACATCTCTGATAATCTATCAAAACTCTTCCCAATAAAGTTAATGTCACAAACTTTATCAGGGTAAATACTAGGGGGATGGTCGGATATACTAAATCTGCTTTTTTGAACGTATTTTATTCAGTGTTGAAAGAGACCGGGAACAAGTTATTCAACTTATTAAAGCCCGCTCCCGGTAGTTACACGGACAAAATACATGTAATGGACAATGAACAGAGGAAAGACATATTACACATTAATTGAAACGCTTACTACGTACAATGAATTTATGGACTTGACTAAAAATATTTTCATTTACAGTTTGTTTCAGTCTAAGGCTGCCGTACAGAATGGTGTTAATATCTAAACTAACTTTTAGGATATAAAAGCCTTGCATCTTCCAGGAGAGCAAGATTTACTTTTAGATAAGTTGACACGAAAAAGATCAGCAGTTAAAGAACTACATGAATGTCTTAACATAGTATGTAGAATGTTAATCTTCCTTTCACCAAAAAAGGAAATCTTAAGGATTATTTTTCAGATAATTTAAATTTACATAAACAAGCACAATCATAGATAAATTACTTTTGAAGAACTCGAAACTTTGGAATATCCAATTTTTATATTAGGCTGTTAGGCGATTCTTCATCGTCGACGTAGTCGTTGGTGAGGCAACGGTCTTGGCCGACTCCCCGACAAGTCGCACTATCCGTCCGCTTCTGTCGATGATCTGGGCCCGTCTCCTTGACTCGTCTCGTCTTCTCTCCCTGTCTGATTATGACAGTCAGATGTATTTACACAGGGACATTACGCCACGTTGTGCAAGGTCACTGACCTATGCACATGTACACTACGTAATCTACCGACGTGGGGAGGTGTTAATTGACAGTTACTGACAGCAGTGAGATATAAGTATCCTGCCCGTAAGGGGTTTATGATAAGAGGGGATACACCAACTGTTTGCTGAATACATGAAACAGACAAAGGAGAAAGAATTTCTGTGTACTTTGGATACATATTGAAACAATTATGTCGTTTGAATATATGAAGTTTTAAAGAACTTATATTGAAATGGTTTAGTCTATGACATTTGATACATATCTGCGGGGCAAATATCCCAGACCTCAAGCATATTCAGAGATAGGTCTAGCATACATTTCATACATGCCTGATAGAATATTTCTAGGTAGGACATACTTTAATATGATGATAAATGTTAAGTGTAAACACAGCCTGTGTTGTTATTTATTTAGGTGACGTCACCATGGTAGGTGCACGTGAATGTCAGCTCTCCTCATGAAGTGAGAATTTTGCTAACAACGACCTAAATGAAGGTAAAACTGGACTAGTTATGAACTACAAAGGCATTATGAGCAACAAATATTATTCTTTCTGAGAGGTATATAGAATAGCGGCACGAGATCACTTTTGACAAAAGCCTCTGTAAAGCTTTATTATTTATGAAATAAAGCTTTTATCAGGCCCTAATCTCTTCCGCTATTGTATATACCACTTTTGAATCCCCAGCCAACTTCCTGGTCACTATGACCGCGTGCCAACACTTTCCTGGTCACGTGACACTATTGTGTTTACTTCTTGAGTGGTGGCAACATTGTGTCGTTATCGAGAGCACAAAAATGGTCAGGACTACTAGGATTGGTACTACCTTTTGCATTTTTTCCCCTGCAACAGTAGTCGAAAATTTCCAATTAGAGATTTGGTAGTTCCAATGTATAGCACTACATATAGCAGAAGATGGCAACCGAAACGACTTTCCAACAAATGGGCCTGCGGGTCGAAAAGTCTGTAGGACTACTCCTGGAAAATACTGTAGACACAATCTTGTGTCGAATATCGCAGGCGTCGACAAATCTACAACCTTTGGAACGTCTACCTACATTCGTAGACGATATATATGTGTTTGGCTACCTCCAACGCACAGACTGCGTTTGCAAGAACGCCAAAGTTTCCTGTACAACTGGAAGGGAAGGTTCCGCACAACTCGTCGTTTCCAGAATCTCAATCGCAGAACAAGAGTCTGGCGAACCCCAAACGTGCAAACAAATATCCTACACACGATAGGAATACGAGAAGACAACTGTGGAACAATACGGAGCACCATCGCTAGAATTGAGAGAGAGACCGGAAAGAAAGCGAAAGACAAGTGGCAAAAACTATATCCGGAAGAGAAGGCATACGCTCTATTCGTAGCAAAGATAGACGTTTCCGAAATACCCACCGGCAAGCTACAAACGTCGATTCCAAAACGAGAACGCCAACTACTAGCACACGGCTATGGGCTGTATTCTATCGACTATACAAGAGATTTCTCTGGTGTGCTGGACCACAAGCGACTGGTGGAATACCTTTGGAAGAAACATGGTTTCCGAGAGCAAGGGGACTTGTCTTCTGCTATGCAGTCGAACAGTCCAACAATTCTAGACAATACGGGTAGTGTTGGGGCCCACGTCTGTACTTGGGTTGAAACCTGGAATGGCTATACAATGCAAACGAAACTCTACAACAAGGTTGTTTCCAATTTCGAAGCAGGAGAAGTCCGGGAGCAAATCGGTGGACATCTGGCAGACTATGTGGATTGCCCAAACCAACACTTGCGGAAAACGTTCCTGCATCCAGACGTGCAAGCCCGTGGTTGTACTCGCATAGAAGTTTCGCTCTACGCACATCCACACAACTCGGAAGAAATAGCAAACGATTTGGTAGAACAAACTCTAGAGATGGTATCTCCTCCAGACACCAGCTTGTTCGTAGTACAACCACCAGCAAAACAATGGGAAAACCTATCGAAATGTCTAGACCGCTGTCTCGTTCTGGCAGATCGCCCACAGGGCACCATATTCGTAGTTTGGTATGCACATTCGGAGATGGGTAGAATTTCTGGGGTCCGTATTGCTCCTACAAGAGCAGACGACGATGCTACGTGGGAGAAAGCGATAGAATGGGCTGCAGCAGATTTTGGTTTCCGAGCATGTCCAATATTTCGGGTAGATATACTCTCCGCTACAGATGCTGGTGTGGAGCTAGGTCCACTACCTTGCTATACAAAGGATCCCGATGCCAAAACGATACTGTCTGCGAGTAGAAGACCAACCCAGCTACATCCAAATGGAGCAGATCCAAGTATTCTATTGCCTTCTTGCAAGACAGTAGAGTGGGAATGGAGAACAGCCAAATGTAGCACCATAGGCATGGCTTCTTCCAAATTCCAACTGCAGGAAGTACCAGAGATCGCAAAAGACAGAGAAGTATATTCCTTGTGTAAATAGACTGTCATCTGAATTCACAACTGGATTCATCTTGATTATTCTGGTGGTTTCAGTTTTAGTTTTGTTGTGATTTTGCTTTCGGGGTATTACAATTTGATTGATATTGTGATTTTGCTTTCGGGGTATTACAATTTGATTGATATTGTGATTTTGCTTTCGGGGTATTACAATTTGATTGATATTGTGATTTTGCTTTTGGGGTATTACAATTTGATTGATATTGTGATTTGCTTTTCACACAATTTGTTTGGGTTTTGGTTTATGAGTTTTAGGGGTTATTTCCTATTTCTTTCTTTTGACATATTTATTGAAGGTAATTTCCAAAACTGTTGTTCTTCCGCTGGGTAATATAGTTATTCTAACTATCTATTATCTAGTTTTGATAAGCTAAACTACGTCAACACTTATCATTATGACATGCCAACCACAATGT